TGGTTTTGCATTCATCTTGTTTTTATAACCAGACATAAGCCACTGTTAGGAAGCAATTTCTTATTTGAATACACTGTGCACATTACATTTCCAAGCACCCTGTAGGGTCTAATAAATACTCTTTTAATTGAGTCTCATTATTTCATTCATACCCATTGTGGGTAACCCCCCATATAGACACCGAGGAAGGAGACCTAACCAGATCCCTGGCACACATAGGGCTTGAAGAATATCTCAGTTTATAGCGTTACTACTCAGCTATTTCCTTTTATATAATCCTTTATATAATCATATATTAGTTTATTGAATTAGGGCTTGAAGAATCCCTTTATAAAATCCTCTATACATAATCATATAATAGTTGATAGTATGAGTGCCTAAAGGATATTTCCCTACAGATATACCTATAATTATATCTTAGTTCATAATCGGAGGAATGCCTAGAGTGGACACAGTACAGAGCATGAATTAAGGAATAAGCAGCTTATAATCAGAGGAATGCCTAGAGCAGACACAGTGCAGAGCATGATTTAAGGGAAAACAGTTATGCCAGGACAAGAATCCATGGCCCAGGCGGCAGCGTTCAGTATCGTAAAGACACCCGCTGTATGGCAGGCTTGGGGCAAGAGCCACTCCTCCTGATAAAGGAGTTCTAGGACCCTGCTCCAGTTCTTATGGAAGGCCGCCCTCAGACCGGCAATCCACCTTGGTGACTGTGAACTCTATCAGCTCTTGATACTGTGCTGCTTGAAAAGCATCTTCCCATTGAACCCATTGGAAGCTGCCAGAAGGTGGCGGTAACCCTGACAGCTCTGTCACTGCTGTGTGACTTAAAGCACCCTCCTATAAATCTTCTTAGAAGTAGTTTGCCCATAGATAGAAGTATTGCATACTGCACGCTCATTACTGAGCACGACCCACTTTCAACCTTGGTGACCTAATGGGGGTGGACCCCTTACTGCGCACGGCCCTTGCCTTCATGGGAATGGGCCCCTTGCTGTGCACTGTCCACCTCCTGGCCTAGGTGACCTAATGGGGGTGGACCCCATGTTTTATTGCTCATGACCCTATCGCTATCCTTAAAAATGATTTCACTCACTGCCCTGCCCCCTAACCTATACACAATAAATACTCAGACTTCTGGACATTCGGGGCCTCACCTGACTCCGCTGATAGGTGGCGTGGCCCCTCGAGCCCAGCTGTGTTTTCCTTGTATTTCTGTGTCCTGTCTCTTTATTTCTTGGACCCTGAGCCTCAGCACAGCATAAGGCACACCCCACGACCCTGTGGGCCATCAGCCCTGCACACATCAGCATTCTCCTTAATCTTACTAAGATTTTAAATAGGAAGTAATGCCAAATTTGTGACACTTCTTCCTTCCTTCTTTTTCTTTCTTTCTCTCTTCCTTTTTTTCCAATCTTTGTTTGGTTGAAACCCCCTTCTTTTCCTGGTTTTCCTTTTCTATCCCTATTCCTATTTCATTTGCACTATATCATACTGACAGTATGGACCAAATTCAAGATATTGTTGTTACTTGATGGAGTTTTTAAAAATTAGAAAAATGTATTTTAAGAAAGTCAGAGCTTGAAGTTTTCTAAGAACAGAATGAACATTAGCAATGTTGAATGCCACTAATAAAGAATAATCTCTTTAGTATCTGTAAAAAAGGAGCTATGTATAGTTCACTTACACAGTAGAATTAATGGGGATTTCAGAAAAGGAGTGGTATTTTTATTTTATTATTTTCTCTGAGGCAAGACACAATAAGGAAGAACAGGCCAATTCCAAATGGAGAGTTGCTATGAACTTGAAAATATGTCATACCTCTATGTCTCAAGGATTTTTCTCCCTTTAAGTCTTCTTAAGTAGAAGACATAAAATAGAATTTATAATTTATCATAAAATACATGTAACCACCAAAGGCTCTTCGATGTATTATGTGTTGGAAAAGGTATTTCTGATTTTCTCCTGAGTTAAATGAGAATTTTTATTATTTCCTCAATAGACATTTGTCCTTGTGGACAATATGTTAATGAATTTATTCTACATTAATACAACTAATTTAAAACATAATGTACCAATGGGAATCATTGTGTGGATTTAAAAAAAAGTAAATGTAAAATGTGCATGTTGGCAGGCATGTGTAGCCCCTGAGCCTGGGAGTTTGAGGCCAGCCTTGGCAACATAGCAACACCCCATCATATTTTAAACTTTATTTCCTTACTAATTTAGAGACTGCCTGTTGCCCAGGCAGGAGTGCACTGGTGTGCTCACTGCAACCTTAACCTCCCGGGCCCAAGCGAGCCAGGACCACAGGCACATACCACCAAGTCTGGCTATTTACTTTTTATTATGTTTTGTAGAGATGATGTCTCATTACATCGCCCAGGTTGCTCTTGAATTCTTGGACTCCAGTGACCTACCCTCCTTGGTCTCTCAAAGTGTTGAGATTACAAGTGTGAGCCAACACGCTGCACCTCCACTCTTAAATGGCCCCGTCTGTATATTTAGAGATGAAAAAATCCTGGAAATTCCCTTGTCCATTTTCTTTCTCAATTTTCCCAGTAAAACTTCTTTGTTTTTTTTGGTTTTTTTGTTTTTTTGAGATGGAGTCTCACTCTGTCACCCAGGCTGGAGTGCAATGGCACGATCTCGGCTCACTGCAACCTCTGCCTCCCGGGATCAAGCAATTCTCCTGCCTCAGCCTCCCTAGTAGCTGAAATTAAAGGCACACACCACCATGCCCAGCTAATTTTTGTATTTTTAGTAGAGATAGGGTTTCACCATGTTGCCCAGCCTGGTCTCCAACTCTTGGCTTCAAGTGATCTGCCCACCTCAGCCTCCCAAAGTGCTGGGATTACAGGCATGAGCCACTGCACCTGGCCCTGTTTTTATATATATCTTTAAAAGGTGTTCAATTAGATAATAGTTTTAGCCATGCCAAAATATCAAGACAGGTTATATCAAGAAAATATTAATAGTTAACACACCACACAGTTGACATCTCAAAAGAGTTAATATATTTTTAAAAACAGTTAATATATTCTGCATAGGGCCGGGCGCGGCGGCTCAAGCCTGTAATCCCAGCACTTTGGGAAGCCGAGGCGGGTGGATCACGAGGTCAAGAGATCGAGACCATCTTGGTCAACATGGTGAAACCCCGTCTCTACTAAAAATACAAAAAATTAGCTGGGCTCCGTGGCACGCACCTGTAATCCCAGCTACTCAGGAGACTGAGGCAGGAGAATTGCCTGAACCCAGGAGGCGGAGGTTGCGGTGAGCCGAGATCGTGCCATTGCACTCCAACCTGGGTAACGAGAGCGAAACTCCGTCTCAAAAAAAAAAAAAAAAAAAAAAAAAAAATATATATATATATATATATATATATATATACATACATACACACATATATATATATTCTGCATATAGGGAGCAGTATAGTTTAACAGTCTTCTGAGCCAATGCCAAAAATATTGTAATATAGAAATGTATAGCAACATCTTGAAAAATGTCTACAGTATTAACATTAAAACAGTTCCACTGAATCATAGAAACTAACTTTGATTTAGGAAGCCTACTGTTTTTCTCAGCTATGCTTAGATTAGAACGGAGCTCCTTAGTTTTCAAGACTAGAAGTGTAAAATATCAAATGTTAAGGTTGTTTAAAGCAAGGAATGTGCAGCTAGTAATTGTAAACCTAACTGCCAGTTACTGCAGTAATCTTAAATTCTATTTGAAGCAGACAACTATCCTGTAGGTTATTCGAAAATTGCCCTAGATGGGGCCAGGCGCGGTGGCTCACGCCTGTAATCCCAGCACTTTGGGAGGCCAAGGCGAGTGGATCACGAGGTCAAGAGATCGAGACCATCCTGGTCAACATAGTGAAACCCCGTCTCTATTAAAAATACAAAAAATTAGCTGGGCACGGTGGCGCGTGCCTGTAATCCCAGCTACTCAGGAGGCTGAGGCAGGAGAATTGCCTGAACCCAGGAGGCGGAGGTTGCGGTGAGCCGAGATCGCGCCATTGCATGCCAGCCTGGGTAAACAAGAGCAAAACTGCGTCTCAAAAAAAAAAAAAAAGAAAAAGAAAGAAAAAGAAAATTGCCCTAGATAAGACTTGTTAAATCTGCTAGTATTTCCATTATTTACTTTAAGTTGACATGATTCACGACTTAAAAAAAAAAAAAATTGTAGTACAATCAGTAAAGGAATTATAAAACCCTGGTGACAGCAGGGCCCGTATATTTTGTACAGACCAAAGTACTAAATCCAAAAGCGATGAATGAAAACAACATTCTTTTAAAATCGCAGGACTAGAATAATCACTTTACAGGCATCCAAGTAAACGTCCTTTATTGTCAAGGATATTTCAGGTTTTAAATGCGTCTCAGATTCCTACACATAATATTTAAATGAGGGGAAAAGAACTCTAGAACGAACAAGAATTCTAAGGGAAGCAAGTAATTTAAAGGCTGAATACACAGACACGCCACCTCACCAGGAGGCCTACATGTTACCATGTATTTCAGAGTAAGAATGGAGATCCCCCAGGCCACGAAGACGAAGGCAAGAAGTCACAGAACCGGGCACTCGGAGAGTGAACCAAGAAGATGTGAAAACCGAAGGAAAGCAGAAAGGAAGAGGGAAGGGGGAAAACTTCAAGGAGGAAAAAGAGAGGGTCAGAAGGAAGTGCTTCGAGGCTGAACCCAGGGAGGAAAAAGCAGGTGTTCCAGGCGGCACCTTCACGTCCCGCGGACACCAGAGTCTCTGCAGCCCAGCTGCCCGGGTCCTGTAAGCCCCAGCCCGCCCCTCCCGGTCAGGCCCCACCCGGCCCTGCCCCGCCCCGTCCCCGTCCAGTCCCTGTCCCATCCCCGTCCGGTCGATCGCTCCTCTACTAGCCCCACCCCGCTGTCCCAGGCACCACTTCGGCCCCTCAGACCCCGCCCCGTCAAATCCCTCCAGGCCCCGCCCCTCCCCGCCCCCTGCGGCCGCCGCGTCACGTGACAATCCGGAAGCTGCGAAAGCGGATGTGGGAAGGGCGGCCGCAGCCCAGGGGGCGGTGGGAGCTGCTCAGCTTCCTCCCGGCTCCCTGCGCAGCCCTCATGTGCTACCTTCGCTGACACCCGGAGTCTGCGGCTCTCCGCACACGGTGGGGTCGTCCCACCCGCTGCCCTTGGCGGTCGAAGTCATCGTGCGGAACCGCTGCAGCCGCCCATGGAGAAGACCGGGCGAGGCGGGGATGGCGCCCCCCGGGGGCCCGTGCTGCACATCGTGGTGGTCGGCTTTCACCACAAGAAGGGCTGCCAGGTGAGGAAGGGCCCCCCACCCCTCTCGGCGCCCCCTGCCCTGCTTCCGTGTGCTCAGCTCGCGTGGTGCAGTGCTCCCCACCGGAGGCGACCCTTCGCCTCGCTCCTCCCACCTGCTCCACCTGACGCCCGGCCCCCGCAGCCCCTGAAAAACGCGTGTGAGCAGCGAAGGAGCGAGTTGCTACGTGTAGGGTGTAGGTTTCTAACTTCTGCCTTGGTGTAGGAGGAAGGAGTGCAAGACCGGCCCACTCCCTTCCCGGTCCGTCGTCTCCGCTGGCTTTCTGGGGGTCCGTGTAGCGTGTATATTCCCACATATTCTGTATGGGAGTCTAGAAAGAGTCCGTGCTTGGGCTCTGCTTTCAAGGCGTTAGGCTCAGGGGGCTCGCGCACTAATGCCTCAGGTAGCTTGAAGCACATGCAGGCTCCGTGCGGAGATCGGCTTCCTTTGTTTATCTGATGGAAGCCCTGGGATCTGTGCCGGTAGCCACGGCTGTGGACTGACCTTCCCTCCACCTTCCCGTTGGGCCTCAGTTTTGCGATTTCATCTTCTCCAGATTCTGCCTTTTGGTGAGAGATTGATCTCTCCAGATCAATTGCAGTAAGAGAAGGCGTATTACCGACCAAACCGTTCAAATATAAAGACGTTTTTCAGCAGCCTCACTGAATCTTTAATCCAGCATCTGAAATGGAATATTTGCAATTTATGTATTGAAGGCAATAGAATAAAATAGAAACAGGATTATTTAATGAGCAAGCAAACACTGGAAGGGAATGATGTCATAATGTGCCAGTGAACAGTTAATTGAAATGCTTTTTTTAGTAAAAAAAAAAAAAAGTTACCAGCACTAGCTAATGAAGCATTTAATTTCTTGTATTCCACAGGAAACGTAATATTTTAGAAGACTTATTCGCAAAAATTAAGTTCTCCAGGGAATAACAGAAAACTGATGGGAGTGAAAAAATTGTGTTTGTGTTTTAAGTTTCGTAATTTTCGAAATATATCCTCACACCTGTAACGCCATCACTTTTAGAGACTGACGCGAAAGGATCAGTTGAGCCTAGGAGTTCCAGACCAGCCTGGGTAACAAAGGGAAACCCTGTCTCCACAAAAAAATTAGCTGCATGTGATAGCGCGCTTGTAGTCCCAGCCACTCGGAAGGCTAAGGTGGGAACCTTGCTTGAGCCCAGAAGGCTGTGGCTGCAGTGACCTTTGATCCCACGATTTGGCACTCCAACCCGGATGAGAGAGCAAGACCCCCGTCTCAAAAGAAAGAATTTTGGCACTGGGCGCGGTGGCTCACACCTGTAATCCCAGCACTTTGGGTGGCTGAGGTGGATGGATCACTTGAGGTCAGGATTTTGAGGCAAGCCTGGACAACATGGTGAAACCCTGCCTCTACTAAAAATACAAAATTAGCTGTTAGCCGGGCATGGTGGCGCACGCTTATAATCCTTGGGAGGCTGAGGCGCGGGAATCGCTCTAAACCAGGTGGCAAAGGTTGCAGTGAGTTGAGATCGCACCATTGCACTCCAGCCTGGGCAACAAGAGCAAAACTCCTCGAAAAAACGAAAAAAAGGAGTTTCGGAAAGTGTGGGTTATGTGCATAAGTCTTAGAATGACTGGTCTAGAGTCTGTTCTTTACAACCTGTACATCAGGTGTTTTCAGAGGCTCTACTTAAAAGTAAGATTTGCCCCAGGATAGATTAATCAGCTACCTCATTCTCCACTTTGCTATTTTACTTCCAGGTGTAAAGGATTAAAGGGGTGAAGCTCATTGAGTTGTGACTCTGACTTTGTATGGATTTAACTTGTGTGAGGGTACTTAGACTGCTCTTCCAAGTACTCAAAATTGTGGGTCATGTTACAATCAGTTCTTTCTGTGCACTGAGATTGTGCATAGGGAAAATTCCTATACTTGATTGTAATTTGTAACATTTAAATACAAGTGACTAAAGTAAAAAACCTTTGTTTTAAAAGTGATGCCTTTCAGCAGTCTGCTTGGTGAACATAACTTTGCCATTTGACATGGACCTCATGTCATAAGTGAAAGCCATCTTCCAATACCGCTGGGTTGAAGACTAGGTTTGTGGAAAATGTTAGTTCATCTTGTTTCTTGTTTCCTGCACTTTTTCCACCTTTGAAGTCCTCAAATGTATTTTACATGAAAAATTACTTCATTTAAATTTAAATGAACATTTATTTTATCACTTGATCTTTTTTTTCCACTTCTATTTGGATAAATTGTGGAAGTGAATTTCTTCTGTAGATAACGTGTTAGCTTCTAGAGGTGATTTTTCTAGTTTACTGATATACTTAACATTTAGAATATTTTAAGTGATTTTTGAGTTCTACTGTGACATTTAAAGTCATTTCAGAATATTTCCTCTTTTCAACTTTTTACTGAATTATTTAAAATTTAATATTTAACAAGGGATAATTTAACATTTAATAAGGGATAATAATGTATGGCTCACCCCTATAATCCCAGCATTTTGAGAGGCTCAACTGAGGCAGATCACTTAGGAATTCAAGACCAGCCCGGGCAATATGGCAGAACCCCGTCTCTTCTAAAAATATAAAACATTAGTTGGACATTGTGGTGCGTGCCTGTAATCCCAGCTACTCAGGAGGCTGAGGCGGAAGAATTGCTTAAACCTGGGAGGCACAGGTTGTGAGCTGAGATCTCCCCACTGCACTCCAGCCTGGGCGACAGTGAGACCCTGTCTCAAACAAAACAAACAAAAACTTATCTGACACTAGACCCTTTGGTGTGAAATAATTTATGGACACCTTCTCTGTATAAATTGGCTTGTTATAGAATGTGTATTCCAGAGTTTTGTTTGTTCTAATATGTAAACTATATTTGTTGGACTTAGCAGGGCTGCAGCACTGACGACTGACAACCGTAATTTTTTGCTAAGTAACATCAAATGTGTATCACATTAACTCTTTGGCTTTCTCATGAATAAGTTAGAACTTTTTCAACTACTCAGGTTTACAGGGAATAGGTTATTTTCCAAAGTGGTATCATAGAAAGTTGGAATAATTACTTGATTTTTGACCACTTTTCTGATAGTTTATTGTTTTGATTCCATAGCTAGCAGTTTTAAGTCTTCAATAAACTGGATTTACTAGACTATTTCTAATACAAAAAAAGCAGAATTACACATTTTTTTTAAATATTACTTTTAAGTTCTGGGATACATGCGCAGAACATTCAGGTTTGTTGCATAGGTATACATGTGTCGTGGTGATTTACTGCATCCATCAATCTAGGTTTTAAGCCCCGCATGCATTAGGTATTTGTCCTAATGCTCTCCCTCCCCTTGCCACCCACCCCCACATAGGCCCCAATGTGTGATGTTCCCCTGCCTGTGTCCATGTGTTCTCATCACACTTACAAGTGAGAACATGTGATGTTTCGTTTTCTGTTTCTGTGTTAGTGGTAGCAGAATGTTGCATTGCAAATTTTGGGATGGTTGCTATTGGGGGATTGTTTATGTTGGGGTGATACAGCTATACTCAAGCCTGAGTGATTCAGGTTTTGATGACAGATGACTTACTGACAAGCCTGTTTTGGCACCTGCTGCTAATGGAATCCTGTGTTGACAATAACGAAAGATTTCTGAAGGTTGGTTTGATTCTTGTCGGAATAAGTAGTTCTTTGGAACCAGAAAGAAGAAAACTGGAGGGTTAGCAGTTAGGGAAGAATAACTTTCTAAGATTCTTTTTAGCTACTAGTTTTACAGAAACTTTGTTCTGAAACAAGATCGCATTTTCTGGCCCTTTACAGCACTTTTATTTCTTCAACTTTAATATTTTGGTAGATGTTTTTTCCTGATTTTGGCCATGCTTTTTGTATATGCTGAAATTATGAAAATCTCTGACTTAGCAGGGCTTCAGCATTGACAGAACGGTGGAATAGTTTTCATTCAGGCTTTGGCGTTGTGCCTAAGTGGAGTGGGTGTCAACTTGTGAGCTAAAACTTAGAAATACCAGGAAGAGTCCTTCCTCCTCTCTGGGTCCTCCCAGCTAGCAAGGATGTGCCTAGTTTCTTTGTTTGCCTTAAACCTTTGATCCCTAGTAAAATACACCGTGAGTAATCATCCCCTTCATGTCCCTGATAGGATTCATATCTTTTGCTGAATGTAGTTTTTTGCTAAAGGGAAGACTGCAGAAGGGCCCTAATCTACTAGGGATGGAAGAGGAAGATGCAGATGTATAGGGAGAAGAGTCTACTTACTTAACCTACTTAATTTTAAGACTGCTCTGATTTTATATGGATTAAGAACTCAGGTTCTGGCTAAGATACTTTTAGAGACTGTTTTCTAAGTTGATATTTTCGGCAGTTTTTAAATGATATTTCAGTATTTTTGAAAATAACATTTATGATGATAATAATAATATGTACTGGCCAGGCACACTGGCTCATGCCTATAATCCCAACACCTTGGGAGGCCAAGATGGGGCGATCGCTTGAGCCCAAGAGTTTGAGACCAGCCTGGGCAATGTAGGGAGACCTTATCTTTGCTTAACAACAAAAGAAAGCCAGGTATGATGGTACCTGCCTGTAGTCCCAGCTACTTGGGAGGCTGAAGCAGGAGTATCACTTGAGCCCAGGAGGTCAAAGCTACAGTGAGCCGAGCTCATACCACTGCACTCCAGTCTAGGTGACAGAGTAAGACCCTGTCTCAAAAAAGAAAAAAGGTATATCAAACTGTAATCAAGTTTCATGGCCTATCTTTTTCATGTAAACTATACCATTAGTATTTTTCTATATTAGTAAATAATTGAATTATGTTTTAAAATTGCTATGTAGTATTTTGTAGAAATACTGTTATTTATTTAACCAATGTCCTTTTTAGATACTTAGGTGACTTTCTGATTTTTCACTGTTTTGAATAGCACTGCAGAGAACATCCTTGTGGCTTTTTGCACCTTTCTCATAAGTATAAAAGACTTCATTGTAGCCATTTTTTGGTGAAGATTTTATTAAAATG